ATTATTGCGATTATTTTCATTTGAGTTCCTAGTGGAACATAGGGCGTCAGTAGCACGCCTCCATTGCACTCTCTTCTCTGCAGTCTTTTCAACCTGGCTTCACAACTGCCCACAAGCTTTCATTTCTTTCTCACATGATCTACTCCATGTCATCCTCGACTCAGACGCCCAACTTGTCGTTTCCCCTTTGGGTTCCACTCGAGGGCCTAGTGCATGATGTCCTCAGTCGGCTTTCTCAGTGTAGGCCCAATTCATTTCCACCTTCTTCTGCATATTTGTTGGGCGATTGGTTCTTGGTTGGTTCGTTGCTGGAGTTCTTTGTTGCTTATACTTTCTGGCCATCTGATCTTCACTATCGAGCGTAACACGAAAAAAACAAACCTATCACTTGTCATCCCTCACAATGAGGTGTTCAAAGTCAAGCACACACTCCGTAAAATCGAATTCTCGAAGAATTGTTGAAGATATATAAGCAATGTAAATAACATGAATCAGTCATTTGAAAGAATAAGAAGTGGAATCCGCTAACCACCGTATTGTGAGCTTGTAAAACAGGAACTCATTAGGTAACAAACATTGCCATGATAAAGTTAACACGAAGATTTACGATTTGTCAAAGCAATAAATACAACTTTAGGAAACTCATCTGATCAACGGCTAAACAATGAGCACAGAAGACGAAATGCAGTACGCTTTACTATGTAATCGAGAGATATGTCTTAAGGTTTCTCAGTGAAACACAAGTTTCACTCATCTTCGCCATGCAGGGAATATGCAGCACTCCCAGAGTAGTACTTTTCCACTACGTTTCAATCAGTCAACTTCATTGGCTATCTTACAACTATGCAAATATTCCAGTCAGTATTAAGGAAATAGTTTAGGCAACTGCTTTGTACTAATTACGTACGCTTCTTCAATTAACGGAACTACACAAATGATCCTGATAGTAAGCCACAATACGTCAACAAATAAAGTCTCAGGAATTAATATTTTCAATATCTGATCGTTACTTTTTCGTTTCAGTCATATATTGACAAATCAGGATACACTCATGCATATGTCAGAGAAATTATACCTTGCGACACTAAAACGATGGATCAATATAGACCGAAGAATTCAATCAACAATGAAGTAAGCGCGAAGTTCTATACTGCAAAAAAGAAAAAAACATCTCACAGATTAGTAGTAATATCAGTTCATACTAACCAAACTCTTTAAACTGATGTATTCGACACTCAATTGACAATCACTGTGAGTTATATTTCATGCTCATTTTCACAGTTGATAAATTCTAATGTTGTAATAACAAAACCAGAGCACATCAATTCGTTGAATGTGATTAAATGAATACTTATTATATCACAATTGATTTCACCAATTGTCAAGTGAAGTTGAAATAGTGATACTACTTATCAACAAACAATCAGTTAACCAGAATAGATTGAGAAGAAATATCTGAAATAAGTATTGCTTCCTGAAGATATACGAGACAGCATTCGTGTAGAACTCGGCAATGTAAGTATGCAAATTGATAGTAACATACAAATATACATAATACCTGTTACCAGTGAAATTTACAGAAATGCCACTCACATATACACTGCAACTGTGTCTTTCAAATCTTCACGTACTAGCAGAATAGCTCAAAGTTCAAATATGATAAATGTATGATATAAAATGTCAAATTCACTCTATGATTACAATATTAAACTATGAGATCGTTTATTCCTAATATCCTCTTCACACATTTTCTAATCCATATTGCTTACCATAATGTTAAGGTAACTAACGCGACGACGACTATCACGCTTCTACATGTCTCCTTCTCTTCCCATTTACAGATTATGACAGTGGATTGTGACAACGTGTACTCTACATTGAAATGAAATTTTTATTTCGATTCAACATATATGGATCATCGTTTCTTACCATCCAGAAATCTAAAGACTAAAAGTTATCATAGTAACAAACTTGAAAATCAAAGCCAAGTTCTAAACTTTGAGGAAAAATGACTGAAAAGTAAAGAACATATATATATATATATATATATATATATATATAGTACCTCCGATCATACCTGGAAACCTGATTCACATTCATATACACAGTAGGACGATGCAGACTAGGTGGTTGGGGTCCACGGGACAAGAGGAACCAGTGGTTGGAGACGCTAGGTGATATGGCTGAGAACCGAAGTCAGTGGCGCAGATGTATACATACACTATCCTCATCTTAACAACGCTATACCGAACCTCACCATGTCACTCCTCTTTCCTTTCTTCTCGTACTTTATATTTCTTTTGACTGCATTCTCTTATCTTCATCCTTCGCCTCACTACCTTTTTACTTGATGTGCTGATATGAGGTGTGGCAACTCGGACCGTTACGCAGTAATGCCTGGTCCTATGTTGATAATGATGATGACACAGTAATGTGAAATAAGTATAATTATTACTATTTTAAATATCTTCAAAGAAAAATACGAGGAATAAATTTAAAGGAGACGAGTCGAGTAAAACACAACCTCACAGAGAGACGAAAAAACTACTTGATGTTTGTCCTAACGAAGAACACTTATTCATGAAACTTCATCACAAGATACCTATGCATTCATTATCTACAACAAAGGCAACCAGAGATATCAGTCAATGTATCATCTTTGTCAACGTAATAAATACAACTTAAGAAAACTGACTTGATCAACGACTAAACAATGAGCACAGAAGATGCAATGCAGTACGCTTTATAATGTAATGGAAAGAAATGTCTTAAAGTCTCTCAGTGGAACATGAGTTTTACTATTCTCCCCAATGTAGGGCGGAATTAGAATACACCCCTAAGCATCGACATAGCAGTGCTTTCTCACCTCATTTACCATCAGTGAACAGCATTGGCTATCTTACAATTATGAGAATATTCTAGTCAAACTATAGGAAGTCAGTCACATAAATGCTTTGTAATAAGGAATTACGCTTTCTGGACTATCCAGATCACACAAATGATCAGCACACGTCATTAAATAACCAGCCTTGGGGATTAGCACTTCGAATACCTGAAAGTTTTTTTGAGACCACCTACTGAAGAATACCAATTGGGACACGTTCATACACTGAATACGTATGTCTAGACTAATCATACCCCATGCCAATAAGATGATGAATAAATGTAGACCGAAGAACTTAATAAATAATGAAGCGCGAAGCTCCATATTATAGAAAAAGGAAAAAATCTAGTAGTTCAGTAGTAATATCAATCCACACTAACCAGACTTCTTAAACTGGTATGTTCGATGTGGATCAAAACAAAACTAGATCAGTGTGCTTAGAATGAATAGCCATTATATCACCCTTCATTTAGCCATTATCAAGTTGAGATACAAATATGATTTCCTTAACAAGCTCCTGTGAATCAAGTTATTCGGTTTGTAGGACATCAACTGTAGATGTAAGTTGTTATTCCCCTCAACGATTGTCATTCTGTTATATGCGCATACAGGCAAACATTCATAATGAGGAATGTTAACACTTGTGTGAACCAACGCTTCGAGTTTTGTCTAGCAGCAGCATCAGCAATAGAAGTAAGAATTTGCATAGATTCTGTGGCCTGACAGCAGTATAAATATGGAGAAAATTAAGGTTACCTGATATTCATTAGGAAGGAGACACTTCACAATAAAGGAGGTCAGTCAGACACCAAAATGTTCTCTTCCTCTGATTCAAGCACCATACATACACTAACTAAATGTCACCACGGCTTATCATGAAACAAACATTATCCATTTCTTGTCATAAGTTTCAACTATATCAAGTATATAACACGATTGTCCTGATGACTGAGAGCGTATTATTTCTCTTTAATTCTTTATCCACATGTTTGTTCACCTTACATTAGTAAAGAGTTGTAGTATGTGGCCAGTGTACCAGCTAAAAAGCTACAACACTGACTGCCATCGTGTAAAAAACACTATGCTGAATGCATGCAAAGTACGCACATCGTTTTTAAGCGAAAATATAAGTCAAGAACAATGAGTATTTTGTTCATTTCACAACCAATCAATATACGTGAATCATCTAAGCGGATTTGATAGCATTGTGTTTCTACTTGCAGATATACAAGGTAGTATTCCTCTAGAACTCTGAAATGTTGATATACCAGTTGAAAAATACAATTCAACCGGTTTCTATGAGTTAGTACTCACCATCTATGATCTCGTAGCACACTAAACTTATGAAGAACATATGATTCTACTGAGTTTTCAGAATTCAGTCGATGCATTTGTCATTTGTAGTATTTGCCCCCCCCACTTCTCAACTATGAAATGAAGTCTTTTGCAATGCTAAATCCCACGTCACAACTCTCTAGGCCTATGTGACGCACGGTTAGACTTTAATCATCACTGGTATCCACGTTCCCGAACTACTTCGCTCTCTCATTCATGCATAATTGACTGCTTTCATGATAAACTGAATGGATAGTAACAGTCAGATGATCAACACACATCCCCCCCCCCTCCAGACTAAACGGATATCCATCACTACACGATTTACACATCAAATATCTGTGAACGTACAAACTAGTGTATTTAAAAATATTGATAAGGAGAAAGCAAAGAAAGACTACACTACCATCCATGTTTTTTTTCCATGATGTCATATAGGAGTTTGTTATAATCGATAGTTGCTATCTATAGCTACGATTGAGCTGTTTATGTTGAAACGATACACATTATAATAAATGATATGTAGAAAATGGTTGAGATTTTTCTGATAAAAAAAAAAGATACTTAGAAAAGTAAAAGTCATAAAAAAGTAGAAGTAGTCAACATGTTCAACATGTTTTATAAGGTTAGAATAAGAATATGTAAGCATTAAAAATAATATATATATATATATATGAAATGATTACCTAGAATAACCTATGTTCTTAATATTCGACTTGAATGTGAAAGAACTGCAGTGATTGATGTTATTGTAAAACAATTAATCAGTGATAAAAAAGTATTAAACTTTCAACATGGACTTATGTGATGATGATGATGACAACTCATTCCCGACAGTGTAACTAGTTTCTGGCAAATATTTATACACATAACCAATAGATATTAGACAAAAGAATGAAAAAATAATAAAAATATACGAAGGATTAATTAAATAAGTTATTAATTCAAATAAACTTGTTATAATAAAACTAAATAACCAGTTAACTATAACAATAGAACTGACAGCATTATCACGAGAGTAGATAGGAAATAATTCCATACTGATAAGTATTGGAAGAGGTCCCCAACCAAAAGAATAACCAAATATAAATAATATAATCCAGAATTGATTAACAGTGAAACTAGGTACATTCGCCTGAAAAAAATATAAAATAAACAGATAATAATAACAACCTTGTATTCTTAATCAAATTGGTTATTTCATTATAAATCTGACATAAGTTCAATTGAATTTTATGTTTATCAAATAAACAGCAGAAAATTTCAACGTACTACCTAATATATTGAAAATGAATTTCCTAATTGCTCTTTATCTGACAACTGAAAGATATGTTGCCGATTTGAAATCTACAGTGAATCATATCCTCAATGACTGCCCTCAAGATAACCCGTAACGATCATCTTTGTAGAATATGCAAAAATATCAATGAAATTCACAGAGAAACTGTATGTAATACCAATGTGATAACAAACATATACTGAACTTGTAACGAATTCAAAATTCATAAAAGTGATAGTGTGCCAGCATCTTCAGGTACTATCATTCAACGTTAAGCTAAAAGAATATGACACATATTAAGTGGTCCCATTGCTTAATCATTCTCAGCATCAATGCATCAGTAAGCAATATAGTCTATTATGATAAAGACTATGCGACCATATATACCCATAGTCTAGAGAATGGGAGACGAAAGCACTACAGGATACTTTAGTCAATCGAATGCCAGTATCACCCAACCACTCCATCACAGCTAATTCCTAAATGCACCACAGTAAAACTGGTCGGAAAATGAAAAGATACCATAAGTTAGTGATATCACATTGTACATACTTATATAATGACCACAAATCGTCGAAAAACTCTGTCAATAAACTTCCATAAGAAACCATGAAATCAACCAAGGAAAACAATACAAATGAGTCACAAGTTCAGTCTGACTGCATTTCCTTAAATCAATCGATGAGCGACAAACAATCTTTCACTCACATACTTTTCACAATATTCATATACCTCGAATACGATATATCCTCTACATATCGTTAGTAGACTGAAATCCTCTCCTTCTCAATCTCTCACCCATATCATCTCCATGCAAACAATACATTCTATTTTGAAGCGACAATCATTAGCCACAGTTGTGGGTCTAGTGTGGTCGACTGACAGTCACTACTCTACCAAAGCAGATGGTGAGCAGATGGAAGTAGAGAAGTTTAAAACACCTACTTTGAGGATGTGCATGATTATAATTTTATTCAAGTTGATGTTGTACAGTTATTTCATAACTTTCTACCTTCCTAGTCTCCACAATCAACCAACCAACAATTCAATCAACACTGGCGTCAGTCACTTACACTGTGAGAAGAATCAACTGAAACAACTCACCATAGAGACCAGTTTCGACTCGCTCAAAATCTTACCTTGATGACAGTGAAATCCATTAGACAATGCATACACTTCTTCACTCACCAACAGTATCATGAAAGCTGTGTGTCATCGGTCTCTTGCAATTACCAGCTGGACTCTTCCACCTCACATCACCACATTTTCGCTGATTTTATCAACGTGATGTCAACCTTCAACCTTGTAAACTACCTGAAAATATCATCGCTTGAATACTTCCAGCGCCAAACAAATACCTTCCCCATCATCATCAATTCTTCATTTACCAACATTCTCTACCATTATCTCGTATCGTTACCTACATTATCGTCACTACAATTTCCTTTCATATACCTCCTACACTTTGCTTGAATTCTTAGCCGACACTCCGAGCATGGTTACTCGGTTGAGTCCATCTCACAGTTGTGTGATAAATCAATGCGACTGACCGTTGTTTTGGTCCGTTTGCAGCTTCAATGATTTGTCGATTGAAACTTGAGTCGAAAAGTTCACACAACTGCCTGCATAGATGATTCAGTCAGTACAAGTGGCCACTTGTTATTTCAATGATATATTAGGTACTTGATCAACTCATAAAATCAATTATACTTTTCACAGAAGTATATAAAATGTAAAAACAAGAACATTTTAGTTCATATAATTAACAGTAATTATAGTAAACCAGAATGAATCAAGTAGATGAATTAAAATACAGATTTGGTGACGGTTAATGTTGTATTCGTAACTCAGTGCTGGAAATGAAAAAGAAATCTGTTTGTACAATCCTTAGGTTTCACAACCTTAGAAATTCGTTTTTCTACTTCACTGGGGGGGAAGGAAGGGGCTCACAAACATTTATTATTATTCTTAATACTTTTCCCTTGAATTCCTAGTGGAACATAGGGCTTCAGTAACATCCTCCACTTCATTCTGTTCTCTGCAGTCTTTTGAACCTGGCGCCACAACTCCCCATAAGCTATCATTTCTTCCTTATACGTTCTCCCCATGTCACCCTCACATACCCAACTTGTCGTTTCCCCTTTGGACTCCACCTAACGTCCTGGTCTGACGTGTGATGTCTTCAAACGGTCTTCTCAATGTATGTCCAATCCATCTCCACTTTCTTCTATGACAGGTTCTTGGTCGGTTCGTTCCCAGAGTGAGTTGCTTGATGCTTATTCTTTCTGACCTTAGCATCTGATCTTCAGTATCGAGTTAGTGTAGGCAGCAGCTGTTGATGAATATTTGTAGCTTGTTGGAGGTGCTTTATGTGACACGTCAAGTTTCTGAACCAAATAGCAGCACTGACTTGACTGAATTAGTATTGAAAATCAGGTTCTTGTTCTTTGTGCTCAGTGAAGTAGATCTCCATACTGATTTCAGATTAATGAAAATCTGTCTTGCTGTCTTTCCGATCATGGTTTTGACATCCTTATCTGTGCCTGTGCCGCCTGTAGTTGAAACTATGCTGCCTAGGTAGGTGAAAGAAACTACATTTTTAGGTTTCTCCCGTTGATGGTGATTAGTGCTTGCTGTTGATGCTGTAGTTGGTTGGGTATCTTCATCACCTTCGTCTTCTCTTCATTCACTTGAAGTCCCGTTTCCACTTGTAGACCTTACAAACATACTTCATCCATCAACCATTCACACAGTGCTCAACTTGAACAACTCTATCGGTCAAATATTGACTCTAATGTCTACAAAAGTATTATAAATATTTTACTTTAGACTTACAGAAATTGTGATAGCATAAGCCAATTGTGATATAGCCATGATGACAGCACTCAACATGAGCAGCTTTTTTCGACGTACAATGTTTATGACAAAAGCTGCCACAATAGTGAATATCATTTGAAATAATCCAATATAAAAAGCACAAACAGGAGGTGAAAATGCACTACTAATCAGACATACAGACTCTGCATAAAAGAGAATAGCATTGATACCAGTCAACTGTTGAAATATCATTAGCATGATAGCCATTCGTAAACGGGGCTGTTGATTTGATGGAATAAATGAACAAGGACACATATAGACCATAAATGAGTGTTTCTTTGTTGTGGCTTCAATCGAATTGTTCTCTGTATCCGTAGAATGTGAACTACGCTATCAATACAACACAAAAATAGCAATACGAAGGTATTACTTTCAAATGAAATTACTCAAGAAATAGAATCATATGGTTATTATTTATTGATATACTTACTCGACCTCTACTGGTATATGGGCTCCTATGTAGATGCTCAATATTGCATGAGTGTTAATTATGGTAATTTAGTTGGTTGTGGCTAGCAGAGGAATCCAGGATGCAGGTTTCATCCTATTCGGGACTCGTCAGCTGGATGTACCTGTACCCCAGTGAGTGAAACGCGCGTCCTAGATTCCTCTGCTAGCCATAACCAACTAAACTACCATAATTAACATTCAGACAATATCAGGGCATCTGCATAAGAATCCATTTAGCAATAGAGGTCGAACAATTCGATCCAATAAAACAACGGAAATTACAAGTATATCAATAAAAGTAATAACTAATACCCGTTGTACAAGAAGTGGCCATCGTTCCTTTGTGACATAGTCGATAACGCCATGGCGTTTGAAGCGATGGGTAAGAGGTTCAAGGCTCAGTGGGAACAACATCACTCCGCACTGGGGCACATATACATTCAGCTGATGACTCCTAAACCGGACGAAACGCGCTTCCTGGATTCCTCTGCTAGCCACAACCAACTAAATTACTGGAATCGCATTGTACTAGCATAATTTATTTTCGCTAGGAACGTAAGCATACACTGAAGAATTTTAAAGGAGAATAGAATATACACAGAATATGCATATGAATCGACACTCCAACATACAACTTTGCATAAAAGAGTACGCATCTGTTATGCGTACGTTGACACTGACTAAACTCTTATAAGTCGGCAAGCAGTTGTGTTAATTTCCGAATGCAGAAAAACAACACGCTATATGCTAAATAGTTTGTCCCTAACAATTTTCGACAGGTTCTAGACAGACAGAAGACTAGGCATTACAACACAAAGGACCAAGTTGCTACACTTCACATCACTACAGCAAGTAACAAAGCAATAAGATATAAAAAATAGGGAAGAAACCAATCAGAAGTTGTAGAAAGTCATGATAAGATAACAAGAAGGGATAGGAAAATAATGAATTCAGTATGACGATTGATATTAGGATAATATGTGACATGAAGATCAATCCTGTGCGACGTTACCTGGGTCCCCTAACCAATGGTTTTTGTTATCACGTGAACCCGAATCAGAAACCCTACATTTCTATACATGGCTCAGAACAACAGGCGAAAAATTCATGAACGGATGATATGTCTTAGTTTGATCCCTCCAAACCTCTTTCTAGCTTAATCCTATTTCAGTTAGCATTGAGCGACGAGGTAGACGGTGACTAGGCACGCGTAACACATGTCTCAGACAACTGAACCGATGAAAGTTCACAGCCCTATCAACTGACTTTTCCCTCCTCCCTAAAACCCGACGCCTGGCTTCTGCATTACTGACCGATAACACTACGACAACCCACTATGCTACGACGGCAACAGTGGCCAGACACCTAGAGCTTTCTCATTTCACCCAAATTTAGTGATAATCTTTCACAGCCATAAGGCAAAACAGCGAGCTGCATCACACTATACTTAACGCCTAATACACAATGTGATATCACGGCAGAGCCATAAATAGTGTAAGTTAGAGAAAGTGAAACGAGCCTTTGATATATGCGCAGACATTCCGTCAGCCAGTGACCAACGCACTAGCGCTCACTCGACTTCCCAGATGAGCGGAACAATCAACGAGCTCAACCGTTCTATTCTCTATCGCTAGACAGGATACTATAGAAGACCAGTCCTGGAGAGGTAATTTGCATTTCGGTGGTGACAAACACAGCCCGAAGATCCTCGAATTATCACTCAATATATCCACAAGACTCTACATCTTGTCAGCATCTTTACTTAGCAGGACTATGTTATCTGCGTACTCCAGATCTACCAGGTATTCTCCCATGATAAGATCGACCCCTGTGGAATCAGACTACGAGACAGAGATCTCCATAAGAAAGTCTATAACAAAGGTGAGTAAGAATGGAGATAGTGAACACTCTTGACGGACAGCACTAGACATACAAAACCCACCACACAGTGCCTAACACTTCCGCAGCTGTTCGAATACAGAATTGTGAACAGATTAATGCATTTACTAGGTAACTCTTCCAGTGAGAGACACTGCCATAATACTTTTCAACCAATGGAGTTGAGTGCTACCGTCAGGTTGAGAAATACGGTCAGTGTCGGGTGTTGGTGAGTGTGCCTATATTTCAGAACCTAGCGGAGGTTTAATATCTGGTCAATAAAACCTCGACTATATCTGAATCCTATGAGATTTTCTCGTGTTTTCTTTTCCCGAGCTCCATTCAGACGTCTAATCACATAACCTAGAATCAAAGACACTGTTCGTCACGTTGCCTGCCCCTTTGATGATCTTGAACACTGGGAAAGTCAGTGATTAAGACCAGTCAGAAAGGTTCATATCTGATCCTTACCCAGCAGCTAACAGTTAACTTAATCAATAATGCGCAACCACCCTCCTTAAAAAGCATCTAGTATTAGTTCGTGTGCTTCTGCTGCTTTACATTTTTCCTTGTTGCTTACAGATCTCTTCTCGACCTGGAAGCGACATTAGACTCTGTCGACTGCGAAGCGTTGTAGCAGTATTGGACTGTGAAAGGAGTACCAAGAAAGCATATAACGCTAATCATATCTCTCTATTTGAACTCACACAACGGTGCAAGGACCTAAGGAGAATTTTCATATGAATTGACGACAACTAGTGGTGTCCGCCAGGGATGCCCACTGTTACTGTCCCGGCTTACTTTCGTCATAGACCTATTAATGGGCATAATCCTATGTACGTCTAACCTCCTAGAGATTGACCTACTCTATGGAGGCCATCTGGTTGATTAGGAAGCAAAGAGATGATATGATCCTGCTGGGTGAAGACGCTGACAAAATGCAGGGTTTTCTGAACACATTGAACAGAAATCTGAGTATGTGTGGCATGCGGTTTGCACCCGCCAAATGTAAGATAATACTCCAGGACTGCTTCGCAATTAATCCCAGTTTAATGATTGGAAGTGAAATGGTGTAATGTATTAACCAATTCACTTAATTGAAGAAATGGATGAGCTGGAATGGGCTGGTTGCTGACGAGATCTCAGCTCGGATATAGAAAGCACGTTTAGCATTCACCAACTTGCGTCATCTGTGAGGCTGATTGGCAAGATACCAAAATATGTATCAAAGTACGAGTTTACTGGGCTGCAGTCCTTTCTGTCCTCGCATACGGCTATGAAACATGGTTATTGAATGTAGGAAATAGGAAGCATTGACAAGTTTTTGATCACAGGTGTCTTCATAGCATTGCTAGCATACAGTGAAATTATCGTGAAGTTAGGCGAAGGGCACTAGGCAAGACAGACAAGTCAGTCGATAAGGTTGTGAACCTCAGTCGACTGAAATGCCTTGGATATCTACTGCGTATGACAAGCCACCGCCACTACCATTGCTTATGGGAAGCTGGATTAGGTTGGAAGAGGGTTCAATGTGGTCAGACTAGGACGTGGCACCAGTCGATGAAATCTCTTGCTTGGCTGACGTCCACGAGACAAAAGAAATCAATGGTTGAGGACTCATGGTAACATGACTGAAAATTGGTCACAATAGGGAAGATATATTCACCCCATGATATCTTTTAAAGCTTGAATATTCATGCCAACCTTCGTCTTCAAATTGTGAATGCTTTCATATAACTGTCTACTTTGATATCGATCTTTTTCTATCCACCTGTTCTTTGTATACTACTATGAAGGGTGGCAACTTGAACCTATGTACTTTGTATGAGGTTTTAGACTAATTTTTGTCTATTGGAGAACTTTGAATGACTATAATGCGTTATCTTGTTTAGCTAACTTCTGAATTTACTGTGACTTTATTGTGCATAATAGTTTCTAAATGTTACTCATATGATGTTTGTGAAAGGTTGTTAAACAAGAGATGTGTAGAACTATTTACAGCCTTGCTTTATTGAAATTGTTCATCAATAAAGCAAGATCAGCCGCATTCAAGAAATCAAAAATACTCAGATTAAGAAGTTCAACAAACTTATGGAAGAAAAGCATACAGTCAACAGTAATGAAATTAACAATAGTATATCACTAACGATCGATAAGTTAAAATGGGTTGTCAATCTCTCAAGTAGAGTCCTAAGCTCAACAGAAGTGAAAGTGATAGAGAAAGGTCTTAATTTCAATGTAGCAGTTAATGAGTTGAAACCACAAGATATCATTCCCGAAATAGAAATAACGTTAAGTTCAATAGATAAGACAATTGCAAATACGGTAAGAGTACAGTGTGCTCTAACACTGAAACAACAGAAGGAAATGAAATCTAATTTACTCAAGTCAGAGAGAGAAGCTCTCAGGAATCTTCACAATGATAACAATATAGTAATTGCCAAATTGGATAAAGGTAACTCAATAGTTATAATTAACAAATCTGACTACATCTACAAAGTGAATGAGCATAAAGAAATAGGACCATATGAGGAAATTAAGAAATCAGTGAATACTATTATGAATAGGGTTGAGAAATCGACAAGGGATCTGATACACTGGATGAAGTTGCTTCTAGGTGTGTCAAAGTGGTTTAAATTAATGCCGATAACTAATAATCCCAGTAGAATGTATGGTACTATTAAGATTCATAAGCCAGGTTGTCTCAGTTTCAGGCCTATAGTAGATTTTAGAAACACTCCGACTTACGAGTTGTCTAAATATTTAGCAATGGTGTTAGACCCAATAAGTAACCACTCAAAGTCTCGACTTACCAACTCTTATGACTTAAAGCATAGGTTAGACAACATACATTTAGACGACAGTGAAAAAATGGTTACCTTTGGCATAACTAGCCTCTACACAAATATACCAATCGAAATGGTTCTAGAGGCAGCTAGAAATGGGCTTAACAAATAACAAAGAACTTACACATCGAACTAAGGTGCCGAGCGAGGAAATCATACTAGGAGTACGGTTGTGCCTAACATCTAGAGTTTTAATTTTCAAAATAAAATATATAAACAAACTGAAGGAGCATCAATATCCCCTGTCGTCGCAGACATATTTATGGATAGTTAGGAACAGGTGGCCCTTCAAACACTCACTCCTACTCCAAAGATATGGTTGCGATATATAGATGGTACGTTCACAGTACTGGAATCGGAACACATCAATAGGTTCTTGACACATATAAATTCAGTAGTAAACGTAATCCAATTTTTCTGTAACTTAGGAAGTGAAGAAGGTGAGCTAGCAATGTTGGATTGCAGGATTAAACGAACACTAGATGGAAGTTTAGAGGCTAGTGTCTATAGGAAACCTACCCATTCGAATCGTTACTTAGACTTCGAATCCTCCCACCCCATCTCAGTTAAGGTAGGCCTAGTTAAATGCTTAAGTGATAGAGCGAAAAAGCTTACTAGTGGATGGGAAAATCTGCGACAAGAAATTAGATACATCAGGAATACCCCACGTCTCAATAATTACCTACGGAAATTTATGAGTAAATTCATACGAAATTGAAAGAAAAATATTAGCAGTAGTAGTAATAATAATAGTAATACAGGTGTTATTAATAATGATTCCACTACTAATGGTAATAATGGTGACAGGGTTAAGAGAGAATTCAAAGCCTGTACTGTATTACTACACAAGGAAGGTAACTCAGAAACATTACGAAGAATTCTCAATAAGGCTGGCTGGGATTAAAGTGTCATTGAAACCAGCAAACCTGCTTAGAAACAAGCTATGTAGGTTAAAAGATCCTAACGATGCAGCTAAGCAAAATAATCTGCTTTACCAGATTCCTTGCAATGATTGCGAGGTCAAGTACATAGGTCAAAGCCGTTGACCAGGGTCGATTAGTATTTATAACCTTGTAAGTGTAACTTTTAGGTGGATTACAAATATTATTCGACAACTATGACTGTGTTGTTGAGTGTTAACAAGACAGTAAAGAAGTAAGAATATAACTTAACAAATGTTCAAAACACTTCAATAAGAAGTATATCCATCTTATGAGTTTTTCTCCTAGGTCTACAGGGCTTTCACTATCCAACCAACATTATATCAATGAAAACAAGTATCTTATAAGTTAATTCCCCAAATAATTCTGTTCATTTAGTTAGTGTAAAAAAAATAAACAGTTTTTTACGGTCGGTGATTGTATTCACAAGTATAAAATATCTGATTTAAGTTTGCAATAAATATGATTCAAAACTCACTGTACCAGATAATCGTATATCCACATTGTCAGCATCCTGAGGACATCTGACACTTCGAAGTCGTTTCGGAGATTCTGGAAGATACCATACAAGGACCAGTACTACACATGAAAAGATAATACTAGTGAAAACAATGCGTTCCCACACCATAAATATAGCCAAAAAGAAGGAGATACAAATTCCTGTAACTATTCCAACTTGTGGCAATGCACCAACCATACCACGATATCTTGGAGATGATATTTCCAACATATAAACTGCAACAGATGGGATACATAGACCAGCTCCAATTCCAGTTAGTAGACGTCCCAAAATAAACAATGAAATTGGAAAAGAGAATTCGTACACTGCATCAGAACACATATACATCCAAAACCAACCCATAGCACTAGCCATGCACGAAACTAACAATGTGAAACGTCTCCCAATAGCATTTAACATAGGTACTGATATCAGGCTACCTACCAACCCTCCAATATTCAATGAGCTAGTGAAAAATGTTGACTTTGAAACAGTAAAATATATTTGCATTGTGGTTGATGATGAAAAACCAAATGCTAAACCTAGAAAAAATCAAAAAGTTTGAAAAATGTCGTTAATTAAAGAGGAAATTAAGAGTGAAAATATTTTTATAGACTTAATCACATACACTGATTAATTTGTAACTTTTATCTCATTTGGGTCGCAGGAAACATACATCATATCGGAAAACCATCAAAATCAACATAGGACCAGGCATTACTCCGTAACGGTCCGAGTTGCCACACCTCATATCACCACATCAAGTAGAAAGGTAGTGAGGTGAAGGATGAAGATAAGAGAATGCAGTCAAAAGAAATATAAAGTACGAAAAGAGAGAAAGGAAGAATGAGAAAATAGTGACATTCGGTATGGCGTCGTTAAGATGAGGATAATATGTGCATACATCTGCGCCACTGACATCGGTTCTCAGCCATATCACCTAGGGTCTCCAACCACTGGTTTCTCTTATCCTGCAGATTCTAACCGGCTAGTCTGCATCACCCCACATGGCTTAAACCAACAGTCAAAGACTTCACGCATTGATGCCATGTTCTAGTGTGGCCACCTCAAACCTTTTTCCAGCCTGAACCTACTTTGACCAACATTGTGTGACGAGGCAGATGGTGGCTAGGTATACGTAACACTTATCACAACCATGTCAGTCGATTAAGGTTCACAACCTCAGCAACTGTCTTACTTCTCCTACGTAAAACTCTCCGCCTAACTTCTGCTTTACTCACTTGGTGACACTACAAAACACGGCCTATGTTGTGAAGGTAACGGTGGTCAAACACATGAAGCTTCTCATGTCTTCCACCTTCAATGGTCATGTTTCACAACCATACAGAGAGGACTGCAGAACAATAGACTCAAACCTTAACATAGAGCTGGATATCGTGGTGGCGCCGCAGATGGCGTAAGTCGGCAAAAGCCAATCGAGCTTTTTGTATCCCAGCGGAGCCACCAGGGTTGATCCGACTTACCAGGTAAGTGAAGTGTTTGACGTGCTCAATCACCTCACTCTTTATTGTCAGCTGGGCATCGTTGAAGACCGGTCGTGGAGCAACAATTTGCATTTGTGTGGTGAGAAACGCATCCCAAACATTCTCAAATTGCTACTCAAAGTGCCCAGAAGACTCTGCATTTTGTCAGCGTTTCACTTAACAGGACTATGTCATCTACGTATTCTAGGTCTAACGAAAATCCTCCTGAGATTAGGTCTACCTGTGAACTCAGATGATGAGAGGGAGACCTCCATAAGAATATCTATGATAAAATTGAATAAGAATGAAGAGAGTGGGCACCATTAACGGACACCATTCGATAAGTACAGCTCCCTGGACCATGTAAGTAAAGTAAAGATGAATTCAGTTCTTAAGAGATTTGTTCGATCACATTACCGATCCTACTTTGAAATTAAAAACACGGATCTAAAGTATATTCCCTGTAAAATTATACGCAGTCACTATTCTCTTTAATCAATTAGTCGAAATAACTTTTACAATTTTGTTATGGCTTCTCATTGAGGATGATGACAATAGAACAGGAATGCACTTAGCAGTCCATTACACATTCATGTAGTAGGCAACGAATCACACCTATGTGAGAGCTGTTGATGATACAACCTGTTTGTCCAAACCTCGTGAGGTGAAGCAGGACTCAAACACACGATCCACTGATTGAAAGTCATGTCACTAAACCAATGAGTAACAGACCCACTGAAGAGGATGTACACAAACCCTTAGCGTCTTTCCTCATATCCAGAGAAGTAGTCACTGAAATGTTCAAAGGTTGACAAGTCCCCTACCCTTGCTATTTGTGAATGAGTCGACCAGTTCACACACGCATGTCCAAACACAAATATTGGTCGAACAGAGAGAAAGGTACTCAATCACATTTAGGAACACGTATCACAGAATTCTAAGCTCAAATATGTATACATCCTAGACAGTGGAATCACTGGTCTTACTTGAGAGTAATCACAACCTACCCAATTCTTAGAATTCTTCAAAGCAATTAACAGGTAGGCAAGCACTAATAAATATAACACGTTTCCCAGTAGCAGAGGCTACCCAATGTATCAGTAATTTAGTAGGGACAGCACTGACTGAAAGGCAGGTGTAATCAGCTGAGAAGTCCCATATAGAAGGAAACGCACGTCTTGGATTCCACTGCAAGCCACTAACAATCAATAGGACTACAAAAAAACTCATATAACCAAAAAAAGTTTCCGTTTACTTATCACTTCAGTGAATCTAGCTAACGGTCAAGCCATGTCACTCACACCATGTTTGTTCTTATCTGCTCCGAACTTCAGCTCCAGGATTTCGATTTCTCACTATATCATTCTGTAAGCCAGTGCAAACGCCTTTTTGCAGGGCTTACATAATCTGCAACTCTAACTTTCCACCTGTAAGATATATTTGTCTCCATCCAACCTCTAACTTCCACATGCGTTTCTGCAATACTCAGTCATCTGTCTATGAGCAGGCAACTGTGACTATCACCCATGCAACTTTCCTGACTTCACTATCACTGTGTCAACTGGTTTTCGATTCGCATTAAAAATCCCTTGGTTAATGGTCAATGAAAGTATCTAATAATTCCTTCAAATTTATATTGAAATGACTTTATGATGTAGGCAACGAAGAAGATTCTCCCAGTTGAAGTGATTATGAAGGAGGAGAATGCATGAGACATTCATCACTGTTTTCGCCATTTATTTATGCGTCGTTGTTCTGATCACAGTCCACTGTTACTTTGTCGAATCTCTTATACGGACTTTGAGGATAAGGAATGTCAACACGTTGGAGACTTATTTATCCTCCTTTTCAGGTTCTCAATATTTTGTGCCTAGAATCATCTCTGTTTAACGATGACTGCATGCTGGATAAGCGTATTCCTTCGAAAGGTGACCACATCCAATGCGGGTTACGGTGGTATACAGATTTTAGATACAGTAATTTACACGGACCTGATATCGATTTGCCACTATACACGTACAGAGGCTGTTAAAAAGTGACGGGGACGAACTATTTAACCAATGGTGTTTTTTTTATGCATCAGGAAATTGGTACATCTACTAACCGATGAGTAGGGGTTTCATCAGTGTCAACACACGCTCAATCGATACACCAGAAGGCACTCAGCAATTTTGCTTACATTTATGTAGTGGGCAATAGGTCATACCTAATGGGCTATTGATGATACAACTTGACTGCCCAAACCTTGGTCGTTGAAGCAAGGTGCGAACGGGTGACTAATGGTTGAAACTCCGGTAAGCTACAACTTCAAGGTCAGTTAAGCGTGAGGTTAGCAACTGCTTCTACACTTCCTCTAAATAAACATGTATGTGTAAGACGTAATGCGAGACTGTTATCTCGACTGTAAGCAACCAATCATTTGGTCAACTTTAACATTGAAACAGGGAGAACAAGTTTATAACTCAATGATCCTTGCATTTCTTCACGTGATGTTTTCAGACGATCTCGTTCCACATGAACTGAAAACACCTTGCGTGTACATTTTATATACTTCTGTGAAAAGTGTAATTGATTTTATGAGTTAATCAAGTACCTAATATATCATTGAAATAACAAGTGGCCACTTGTACTGACTGAATCATCTATGCAGGAGTTGTGTGAACTTTTCGACTCAAGTTTCAATCGACAAATCATTGAAGCTGCAAACGGACCAAAACAACGGTCAGTCGCATTGATTTATCACACAACTGTGAGATGGACTCAACCGAGTAACCATGCTCGGAGTGTCGGCTAAGAATTCAAGCAAAGTGTAGGAGGTATATGAAAGGAAATTGTAGTGACGATAATGTAGGTAACGATACGAGATAATGGTAGAGAATGTTGGTAAATGAAGAATTGATGATGATGGGGAAGGTATTTGTTTGGCGCTGGAAGTATTCAAGCGATGATATTTTCAGGTAGTTTACAAGGTTGAAGGTTGACATCACGTTGATAAAATCAGCGAAAATGTGGTGATGTGAGGTGGAAGAGTCCAGCTGGTAATTGCAAGAGACCGATGACACACAGCTTTCATGATACTGTTGGTGAGTGAAGAAGTGTATGCATTGTCTAATGGATTTCACTGTCATCAAGGTAAGATTTTGAGCGAGTCGAAACTGGTCTCTATGGTGAGTTGTTTCAGTTGATTCTTCTCACAGTGTAAGTGACTGACGCCAGTGTTGATTGAATTGTTGGTTGGTTGATTGTGGAGACTAGGAAGGTAGAAAGTTATGAAATAACTGTACAACATCAACTTGAATAAAATTATAATCATGCACATCCTCAAAGTAGGTGTTTTAAACTTCTCTACTTCCATCTGCTCACCATCTGCTTTGGTAGAGTAGTGACTGTCAGTCGACCACACTAGACCCACAACTGTGGCTAATGATTGTCGCTTCAAAATAGAATGTATAGTTTGCATGGAGATGATATGGGTAAGAGATTGAGAAGGAGAGGATTTCAGTCTACTAACGATATGTAGAGGATATATCGTATTCGAGGTATATGAATATTGTGAAAAGTGTGTGAGTAAAACATTGTTTCTCGCTCATCGATTGATTTAAGGAAATGCAGTCAGACTGAACTTGTGACTCATTTGTATTGTTTTCCTTGGTTGATTTCATGGTTTCTTATGGAAGTTTATTGACAGAGTTTTTCGACGATTTGTGGTCATTATATAAGTATGTACAATGTGATATCACTAACTTATGGTATCTTTTCATTTTCCGACCAGTTTTACTGTGGTGCACTTAGGAATTAGCTGTGATGGAGTGGTTGGGTGATATCAGTGCATAATGGAAACACTTACTGGCATTGAGTTCGGTATTTGTGTTCGCATAGACTTTATCACAACAGTCTACATTAGGAGTATTTCAGAAACACAGACATGACATGTAGCACCTTTCTTCACAAAACTTTCTAGCTTGTGGAAGGATCATAATGGAAAACTCAGAGTAACGTACTGGCTTGGTCAATCGGACAGGTGGATATCGCTTAATATGCGAAATCAAAGTAGAACTACATTTTTGAGTTGTAACGCTATTATTTTTCTCAGGAGTCTACGAAGAACAAAATACATTCAAAATTCTTATTATGTACGTTTTAACTTACCGGAAGTTACAGCACTCAGTGTAGATATCGCGACAGCGAGGAACTCCATCTTATGAAGGGTTGTTAGTGGCGACTGTATGCAGTAAATTTGTCAATAATTAGAAATTTTGAACCATAGAGAGAAAAGCTATGAACATGAATGGGGAACAATAAAGGATATAGAGCACCAAAGAAAATTATATAACAATTAAAAATGACCTAGTTATCTGAGGAAGTGACATGATGAACAACAGGTAGATGTTACTATAACTTTAGATCAAAACTGAACCCACAGAATAGGTGAAAGTGTCAGTAGCTTTTCTTCTGATATAATGCAATATGGATGAATAGTTTTTAACGTAAAAGCAGAAACGCACTCAGCCACCTTGTGCATATTCATGCAATGGACAATGAGTCACAGCTATTGTGTGAGGGCTAGTGATGATACTACCTAGCTGATCGGCAGGCGGGGCGAGGCTCAAACCAAAGACACAATGGCCGGTAGTCATCTCCCTAAACCACTGAGTCACAATTCCTAATAACTTTTATCACACAAAATGGTATTGGTCATGTAGAAAACATACAATTATGTTTATTCAAGTGATTTACAAATTTTATGACAGTCAGAAGAGTTTTTAACCATTCATGTCACTCAATAATATATTCGTTCATTCAACTTTAATTTGCGTTCACTGGGATGGAATAATGATAACACAAATGAGATGTTTCCTGCCCTCATCTTAGAAAATGCCTCATAATTAATGTAGCGAAAATGCTGACATTCAAAAAAGCAAGATTAGTTTCATGAGACTTTTCATCATGATATACCTGATAGAGCTTGATAACTTTTGAAACGTATCTATTTCTCGAGAGGTTATTGAATATCACAAAGCCTCTAAAACCTAAGTCCACTAAGGACTATTCATCGTTAGACAGATCACCACAGGATTTGCCACAAGAGTGTCTCAGTTTAAGTTGCCACAAATCACAGTAGCATGCAAAGAAGAGCGGAGAAAAAGTGCTATTAAGGTAGACAAATGTGTATGAAAGGAAGAAGAATAAATACATAGAGGTAAACTTAAGTATTCACAACTTCATGGGTGACAAAAAGTACATAAGCTTACGTTTGTGTGACTGATTCCGAATAGCCAGTAGTACCCATTGACGTCTGTTGGCTCGACGACTCCAGTCAGATAGTCTACAACCCCCACATGGCTCATATCAACTGTTGAAAACTTCATAGATCGGTGCTAAGTCTTGGTTTGGCCAACATGAACCCTCTTCTAACCTAATCTAACTTCCACAAGCACGGCAAGTGGAGGCAAACTGTAGTTAGGTATGTGCAACGAATGTCCCGGCCATTTCAGTTTCTGAAGGTTCATTACCACAGCTAATGACAAGATGCAGTCTTCTGGATGCCTTGAGTAGCAATTTGAGAATGTTTGGGATGCGTTTCTCACCACAAAAATGTAAATTGTTGTCCCACGACCGGTCTTCATCGATGCCCCGGCTGACAATACAGAGTAAAGAGGTTGAGCACGTTGAATATTTCACTTACCTGGGAAGTCAGACCAACCCTGGTGGCTCAGTGGCCGATGAAATCTCTGCACGAATAAAAAGGCTAGACTGGCTCTTGCCAACTTACGCCACCTGTGGCGACACCGTGATATCCAGTTGTTTATTAAAGGTCGCGTGTACTGCATAGCAGTTCGCTTTGTTCTACTGTATGATTGTGAAACATGACCATTAAAGGTAGAAGGCTTCGTGTGTTTGACCGCCGTTGCCTTTACAGCACAGACTGTGTTTTGTGGTGGCAACACGTGAGTAATGCAGAAGTTAGGCAGGGAGTTTTACCTTTATCGACTGAGATGGTTGGTACACGTGTTACGCATGCCTAGCCACCATCTGCCTTGTCGAACAATGTTGCTCGAAGTAGGTTCAGAATGGGGAAAGGCTCGGAGCAGCTAGACTAAAGCATGGTATCAATGCATGAAGTCTTTGACTGTTTGTCTGAGCAATGTAGGGAGAAGTAGACTAGCCGGTTAGAATCCGCAGGATAAGAGAAACCAGTGGTTGGAGACTCTAGGTGTTATGGCTCAGAAACGATATCAGTGTCACAGATGTACACACACACTATCCTTATCTCAACCACTGTACTTAGTATCGTCATTTTTTCGTTCCTGCTTCCTCTTTTTTATTACTTTCTGCTTCTTTTGACCAACTTTCATTTCGATAGCGTTTCAACTTTCATTTTTTCTTCATCTTCCATCTCATTGCCCTGTAACTTGATGTGGTGATACGAGGTGTGGCAACTTGGAACGTTACGCAGTAGAGCCTGGTCTTATATTGAATTTGATGTTCTTATCGGCCGACTTGCCTAGCATCTTTCGCCTAATATCAACACTGTTAACATGGTGATCCCATCACACGTAAGTAATGTTACGAAGTTACTTGTAACTGCTTCATGTGTCTTACTTTAAACATCCACTAGTCGTATAACAAGACAGAAGGAACAGCAGCGCAGTATGACGGTCCCTTAATAGACAGTCAGATATCTGGCCGGTTGACGTCAGAGACTACGCGAGTCGGCAAATGCCGAACGGGCCTTCTGTATTTGAGCCGAGATTTCGTCAGCGACCGGCCTGTTTGGGCTGACGCAGCTCCCCAAGTGAAGTGCTGGATGCAACCCACCACGTCACTCCTCATTCATAAACTAGTAGCAGGTGCAGACTAGTCCTGAAGTATCATCTTACGTTTGACAGGTGTGAAACTGATGCCAAACATACTCAGATTTCTGTTCAAGGTTTTCGGAATATCTCGCATTTCGTCAGCGTCTTCACCTAGCACAGTATTCTTATCTGAGTACTCCGAGTCAGCCAGATGGCCTGCATAGAGTAGATCAATCCCTTTGAAGTCACAGGTACTTAATGTTATGACCATTAGTAAATCAATGGCGAAATTATTCAGAAAAAGTGACAGCAGGTATCCGTGGCGCACACCATTGGTTGCCATCACTTCAAATGACATCTCTGCTTCTTTTCATGCAAGCAGTCCGCAACTTAAGCCGGCCTATTCACACCGATACCGAGTATAGAAGTCTTCTTTGTTAGGCTAATGTAAGATATTTTCCGAGGGCCTTGCTACAATCAGTAGACGCCTTGCTAATGGGTGGTTGATTGTTCCCGGCATCCACCCATTCCACGTTTGCTAAAAGAAGACTCCTGGAAAAGAAAAGTTGATTCCGAAATGCAGGTTCCACTCGCATCAAAAGAGCACAAGTTTCATGAGTCAATAGCTGATCCCCCATCTAGTTTCAGAGTTGACAGGATGAACGGTATTGTAGCCGTTAGGGTGACGTTTGTTCAGGTTATCGAAAATGTTTTAAGATGATCACTTAGTCTGTTACAATTTCGGCGCCTAAAACACGTCACGGGATCTGAGAGTTAATGACAGTTTCCTTTCCATATGCAAGTAATCTTGTGAAGAATAAGGTGATGCGACATAGAGTCACCGGGAAGTAGAAAGTATGAAGCGACTACAGGCTATTAACTGCAGGTGCTTTATTAGCGCTGTATACATATGGTGGAATCACCATGTTAGTAGTGTCGTGGCAAGGAGAAAGGTACTAGGCAAGGAAAGGAAAGAAAGTCAACTGATGAGGCAGTAAACCGCCAGAGATTGAGATGGCTTCGACATGTGTTGTGCATCCCTAGCCACTGCCTACCTCGACGTTAAATACCAAGAGAATATGGGTTATTTAGTTATTACTTGTAATTTCTCGTTGTTGATGGAATCGAATTGATCAGTCTCTGTTGGCATATGGGCTCCTGCGCTGTTAGCTTTATATTTCCTGTATTCTCAGTCTGGTGGTAACGATGGCTAGCAGTGGAATCCATTCTTCCATTCATTCTTTTACGTTCTTCAAAGCTTGAATACTTTCATTAACCTTCGTTTTTAAATTAGCTTTCCCTCCATAAACCTTCGACTACTTCGATACCAGTCTTTTTCTATCCACTTGTCTTTTTCATGCTACTGAGAATTGTAGCAACATGTACTGATTCACCTCTTTCCTAGATTCTATGTGGGTTTCGCCTATCATCGGGCAGACTCAACATAAAGGGATTATTTTATATAGAAGCATAGTGACATTATCTCTATTTACTATACACCAAACCCTAATGGTCAGATAAACGTTATGAAGTAGTGTACTTCCTACATTTGGTACAGGTTTTTGTGCTGAATTATATCCCAAACTATTTTGACAGTTGGTGGTACTAACCAGTTTTCATAGCTGACATAAGTAAAGTAACGTCTTAGCCCAAGATCTATTCGTTGAAAGTTGGGGACATAAATCACTGGCGTGGAAATTTATGGAGCCATATACTGTCGATAATCATATTCTAAAACTAGTGTTTAGAGACTAGATCAAACAGCAATGACTAAAAGATTTAAATCGTAGCACATGGAACACGATGCATTTTGTATGAGTCCACACTCATGGGTAATTAGAAGATTACTATGGAAGGTGATCATCATTAACATCAACATAGAACCAGACAATATTGCGTAACGACACAGCTTGCCACACCTCACATCGGCACATCAAGTAGGAAAGCAACAAAATGAAAGGTGAAAAAAACAACCAGTCAAAAGCAGTGAAAAAGAGGAAGGAGGAGCGCAGAAGTGCTGTTCTCAGCATAAAGACCACGATGAAGATAATTCGTGGATATATCTGCGCAGCTGATATCATTACCACCTACTCTCCAATTTCTGGTTTCTGCTGTCAAGCAGTTCCCAATTGGATAGTCTACATTTGGCTACAAAGCTCAGACTAACAGCGAAAGACCTAGTGTAGTGATGCCATACTTGTCTCGGCGCCCGAGCCTTTCTTCACCTTAAATCAACTTCAGCTAGAATTACGTCACGACTATACAAACTAATTCGTGAATAGATTGCAGACGATCAAGCACTTGATATTCGTGCTTCAGTTGTGATAGTTACTAAGCCCTCCCAGAATTTTAGGCACATTCAAATTTTTTTCTAAATCCAAGCCCAAATTACTAAACAGCTCCTACTGAAGCAACGAAATGTCATTACTAAGACACTTCTTATAAAGATTTGACTTTCTTCTCTCATGGACATATATAATAATTCCATCAAAGGATTCTCCAAGAAGATTGAAGAAAAGGATCTTGTTCATGACGGGCTTTTGAAATAAGCCCACCTTAAAGGGTGGATGGGCAAAAGTTAATTTAACTTTCCCACTGCAAACGCGATGAGAAACTCTTCTACACTGTAAAACAGATTTGGCGTCTAGACGGTTTTGCCTTTCAACTGTTCAAAGATATGCTAACCATCAACAAAATGTTCACTTAACGTTGCACAATTCCAACTGGTGGTTTAAGAAGTCGCCAGGCAGTTTGCAATGAAGTCGTCTGAAATGAGAAATTGCAGTTGCACACGAAATTTTGCCTTTCAAAAGGCTGGTTAGATGTAGTCAGTAATTTCATAAATATTATATAAACGGTAAAAAAATTATCAAGCTAAATTTTAGGTGGGTTAAGTTTTGCAGCTCAAGAACACAACTGCGGTAAAAACTACCTATTCAAAGACTAGGAGGCTCGTAGAAACAATGAGCCGCTCAAAATCTTTAATTTGGCCCGCAAAAACACTATTGTGAGGCTGTGAACAGAACGTATCACTAACGGTGGTTCTTCACCCAGCCAGTAGCATTCCAATATCCAATATTGATAGTGCATGTGAGCGAAGAAAACTGATAGTTTTTGATCTCTCGCATCTAGTGCTTAGGGCTTGGTTCAAGTTGTTCGGCTCACTCCTGCAGTGGATGAGGAAATCCCCACTGCTTTCTTGATTTCAGCTTGAGTGACGTGGATTTTTGTGCCTTAGTAAGTTGCAACTTTTAGAGTGATTAGGGAGCTACGACGGGTTGCTGGGACGGTTAGGGGACTATGATGACTCCTGTCTGTGTAGGTACGTGAACGAGAATAGTAAGGTAGTGGTAAAGAATGAAAAAGAAATAAAGGGAAAGAGAAAAAAATTGCCAAATGAGAGAAATGGAGAGAAAAGTATGTGGAAGTTGCCCGAAAGGTAAGAGTAGATAGCGTCGGTCTATTTTCTAGAGAAGAATTAGTAGGTAAGGTGAGTGTATTATGGGATGAGATAGTGAGTGGTAGGTAGGAGAGAGGTGAGGGTGGGCTAGTGAGGTTGGTAACTTTCTGAGTACGTGTGTGGTAGACCATGCGCAGTGACATAACTGTTTAACCGTCTCTTAAATGAGTGAACTGAGGGGGCTATGACGATATGTAATGGTAGGGCATTCCATAAAACACATACTCTCAGGGAGAAAAACTTGGACCTGAGTATAGTATTGGCTCTCTGATGTGCTATCATAATGAGGTTCCTCGTGAAGACCGCTGTGTTGCAGGCAAAGCAGATTTGTTTGCTTGTTTTGCCTGACGGGCGATCTTGTAGGCTATAATAGGGTCACCTCTTTTCTTTCATACCACAATAACGAAAAGAATAGAAACAAATACGTAAGTCAAAAGCACGAAAATGCATTCCCATTTGCGAAAAAAGTAACAGACAGTGATAGAAAAACGAAAAATTGAATGATTCGGGAAGCCGGAACTTGGTAATTAGTAAATAGGGTTTTAAATAACTCACTGTATGGCCAGGCGATAACACGTAAAATGACGTTAAATGTCGCGCTGATGAATGTGTGAAGCTATGATTGGTTCATTTCAACATCCAACATCAGTAGTGTGAGTAGAGGAAACTTCCAGTTTTTGAGATCTTGCTTCTAGGTCTTGAGGCTTTGTTCTTTTTGTTCAGTCTTGCTCCTTCGATAGTCACAGAGGTCTTTGAGTTTTCCTGCTTATAGCTTTGGAGGTGTTGTTTGTCTATTTGATTCTGTTTATCTGCAAATTGTCGCTTGGTTTGTTTAGAGGGGGGGGGCAATGGAGCTGCTGATAAGACCAATCAACGGCTTGGAATTCCTATTGTTGTAGGCACCTGAAAGTAAGTGTTAAGCGTTATTCAAATAGTGATAGAAACGGGGTGAGTTGAGAGTGAGAAAAGAGGTGAAAAGTACTTTTGAAAAGATACATATGACTGGCAATAATATGGAGGAGAGGTGTGTCTCACTGCAGACAGTGGGATTAGGGAATACAAGGGGAGTACAGGGATGGAAGAGAGTATCATTGGTTGCTACTAACAGATGTTCGGGGCAAGCCATTTGCGCTCACATACTCATCTAGTAGTCGTTTGAAGGAGTTGACTGATGTAGTTGTGGACACTTCGTTTGGCAGCGCGTTCCATAAGGCATATACCCTATGGGAGAAGAAGTTAGAACTCACTCTAGTCTTTGCCCTATGGTGGGGTGTGTGAGTGAGGTTCCCACGGGATTGTCGGTTCTGGACCGATAATGTTATCCTGTTTGGGTGGTTCACTTAGTGAATGATCTTGTAGGCTGTCATCAGATCACCTCGTTTTCTTCGATAGCTTAGTGCGAACAGGTTGAGTTGTCTGAGGCATTCAGCATATGTTTTGCCTGTTAGTCCGACAACCAACTTTGTTGCTTTTCTTTGTACCTTCTCGACAGAATTTGTGTCTCTCTTTAGTAGAGGAGGGGCTACTGTGTTGAACACCTCTAGGTGTGGTACAACGTAGGTTTTGTTTACCATAAGGAATAACTCTGGGGTCAACAATCCAAGCTGCCTTCTTAGAAAGTGCATATTGGCTTTCGCCTCTGTTGCCATCCCCTCATAAATACGAGTAGTATCCAGTGTGTCAGAGACGTTTAGTCCTAGGTCCTTCTCTGTGGATGCCCTGGTGATTTCACGCTTGTTAAGAGTGTAGTTGATTTTCATCGCCTCTGGTGTGCGAAGACACATCGCCTTGCACTTCCCAGGATTAAAGCTAAAACCTTTTGCAGCTGACCAGGACTCCAGCTGCAACGGGTCGTTTTGGAGCACTCTAGGATCTTCTTCGTCACCTGTCGTCCTCCACATTTTGATGTCGTCGGCTAATAGAAGGATAGATGAGGAGATTTTAGTGGGGAGGTCGTTTATGAATGGTAAAAATAGGAGTGATCCAAGGATAGCTCCTTGAGAAACTCCTGTTCCTGCTTTTCTCCAGGCCAATCGAATTCTGTTTACTTTGGTGCAGAATTCTCTATCCACTAGGTATGCTGTAACCCATTCCAAGAGTGGTTCAGTGATACCCACTTTTGCTAGTTTGGCGAGCATAGTGCGGTGTGGGACGCTTTCAAAATCCTTGGCCAAGTCCAAGAAGATAACTTGAACTGGTTGTTTGTTATCCCACTTAGCAGCCCAGTCATCTCGATCGGTCATCAAGTTCGTGGCACATGACCGCCCAGTTCTGAAGCCATGCTGGGTGGGATGGACAATGTTGTTTATGTTAAGGTAGACCCAAACAACATCTGCAACCAGGCCTCCCAGTACTTTGGAAAGTATGGGGAGTAATGCTGTTGGTCTGTGGTTACATGGTTGTTTCGGTCCCCTCTCTCGAAGATTGGTGAGAGGACGGCGCGTTTCCATTCCTTGGGGAGTTGGCTTACTTCCAGCGAGCGCGTTAACAGGTTGCATATGGGTATGCTTAGCATTTCGGCACAGTTGCGTAGGACAACCGGTTTTATGTCATCACAGCCTGGGGATTTCCATATTCTCAGTGTTGACAGTCTCGCAAACACGCGGCTTGACGAAATCTTCACGTTTATCAGCTTTGTATCACAGTCCCGAGACTTCGCTACATTGCTAGATGCTGGTAGCGAATGTATAACTGGGTTGAGTAGCTCTTCAAGTCGACTGCTCAACAATTCCGCTATCTCACCGCTGTTCAAGGGCTCTCCGGCCGGCCCTGTGGTCAGGCTTAAGCCCTTATTCGTCGGTTTGCGTTGTGACATGAACCGATATAGACTTTTCGGGTCGCAGCTTAACTGTTCAGCCGGATTCTTTTGATATGTATACCTGTCATTACGAATCCTTATATTACACAGGTCTCGTTAAGTCGTGTGCCTGTGAAGGTCCGCTTCCTTGCGTGATGTACGCAACTGGTACCATGCCTTCTTTTTCCTGTCTATTCGTCCTTGGGTTATGCTAGTTACCCAAGATCGTTTCAGACGTGGCCGTCTGTTTAATTTTGGAATACTCTTTCCGATAGCGCTCCAGATAATATCTTTAATCTGTATCCAGTGTTCGTCTATCAATAATGAGTCCCATTCTTGTGGCCATGCAGCCTGCAGGAATTCGCTGTTCATGAGGTGGTAGTCTGCTTTTCGGTAACAGCGGAACGCTTCTGGCCCAATTATTGGTAATGTCTCTTTGGTTATCAGGGAGTATCTCATCAATGCGTTATCGCTTTTGCCTAAGGGGGGTTGGACACAGATGTCGTCCACCAAAAGATCATCGTGTGTTAGAACGCAGTAGAGTGGTGATCCTTTTCCATCTGGTCCCCATCCGGTGTTTTCCCCAACCTTCTCTGTCAGTCCTGCTGCCATGAATGTATTTCGAAGTTTGTATTCGAAAGATTTATGCCCACATCTTACTTCACATCCTGGGTCGGGTGTCGGTGTGTTGAAGTCTCCAGAGAGGACCACATGGTCGTAGGCTGCCGAGGTGGTTGTTGCGATAGCACTGAGCAATTGTGCCTTATGCTTGTCGTACAAAGGGGAGGCCTATATGCTACCCCAATCACGTACTTGGTTTGGTTTATGGTGAAGTAGCACCATAAGGAGTCTGGCAGTAAGCTGAACACACCACCAGTTCTTTTCCTTGACTCTCACATGAGTGCTAATATGTGTGGCAACTCCACCGCCTTCTTTGAACTGCTTGTCCTTTAGGAATAGGGTCATGTGAGGCAAACAAATTTTCTTATCCACCATGTCTTCTGATGCCATGTCTCCGTGAGGAGAATTATGTCCGCTTGCAGATTATGGCACATTGCTTCCGGCTCCAGTAGTTTACTCCAGGGACCTCTCACATTACCGTAGAAGCATGTTAAAGAGCTACTTTTTGGGCTTAGTGAGATATGGGAACTTGTTTGGAGTCTAGTGTGCCGTTGCGCCGGATTCTGCTTGCCAGTCCCTACTGGACTGGCAGGTTTCCGCTTTTGGCCCTTCATGGCATCCTGCTGCTGGTGTGGCAGTATTGTTTACTGTCCCTACAGGTAGCTCACCAGCTAATTATTTTCTGACTAGTACTGCTTGTAGTGTTCTCGGAGGTTGCCTCCTATCTTCTAGTCTGGTAGCTCGTGGTTTACCTTCACAGCATCGTATAGCACCTCCTATATGGTCTTTCACAAGGTACCATGTCGTGAGAGCTTTTGTTAGTGATGCCTTGCAGTCAAAGCCTACAGCCAACAATATTGGTGAGGAGATGCCCTGCAAGTGCGTAGGTCTTGGCAACCTACTTACTTTGCTGGCAAGTAAATTTCTAGTCCCTTTTTTGCTGCAAACCACTCCACTGCTCCACATCATGAAGGCAATTATCGCACCTTGCGGATCCACCAGCCAGTTCGGATATTCCGTGTACCGCTATGGTTTCAGCTTTGTGCAGGTCACTAAGCGGAAACATCCTGTCTGCCTATCGGGTGACCCAGGGTTTGTCTAGCTTCACCCGTATGGGGCAGGAGCCTGCAACATCTGGTCGGCGCGACAGCAGTAGTATGTCTCCGACTGTTTCGCCGTCATTGCTGATACCCTGAGCGGCGGCGGCTTGTCTGGAATTGATTTATTTCCTCGAGAGGGCCGGCACAAGTCGACTGCGATAGTTTCTGTCCCCAACTTTCTGCAGCAGTCATCCCACTTCTCCCTGTCAGACTGTTCTCCTTTTCTAGAAGTGAGTCTGTTAGTGTACGGATGTTGAACAGAATGATGGAATCTGTCCTCTTTTCCTGTAAATGTGGAATACCGGGCTTGGTGGGCAGTGCTTTCGGTCTACCCCTCGCCCTATTCAATCCCGTCTGTTCGTTTTCAGAGCAACCTATTTTTTCAGGTTGTTCGGTCCCGTTGGATTGTCTGGGTGGCGATGGTACAAGCGAGGACTTTTTTACCTTCTCGCTTGAAGTGAGGGCAGATTTCTTCCTGCCTTAGCTGTGGCATTTTTGAACACATGTGGAGCTAGACCACGTTTTGAGGGAAGATTTTTGGAGCTCGATCTTTGTAACATCTTCGACTGAACCAGATTTTCCAACTTTCCACTGGTGATAGCCGGTGATTTCCGATACTCTGGACATATATAACACATCCATTTACGTAGGTAACTCCTCATAAAGCTGTAGTACTGCCCCGGAAACCATTATCACAGTTACAGCGTACCCATCTAAGACAGATGTTGCAAGCAAAGGCTTTCTGAGCCTCCAACACCGATTCTATGCAAACACCATGGTCGTCAGACGTTTGCCCTTTGTAGACGATGGAGGTGTTTACTTTCTGTATGGTAATGCCAGTCGTAGCGCGTTTCCCCCATGCATCATTTTCCACCAACGGTATGACTGCAGATGTGCTACTACAGGGGTTCGCGGTTTCAACAAATGCTGTGCTCGACGCGACAATGCTATGGGGATTTTAGACGATGATTGTGTTGCTGTCCCATCTTTTTAGCACAGACTGGATTCCGTTCACCTACTGACTTCGTTATACGGTTAAGGGCTGGCGATCTGATCAATTGGCGCTGTCTGATATTCACGT